AAAAAAATGCAAGGAGCTGTAGAATGTGACAATATGGAATAAAATGAAAAATCCCACTGTATTGAAATAATAAAAAGAAAAAAAATAATTTGGGTTTATTAAAGCAACATAAGCCCTATCAATTGCAGATCATATACCTAGTGGTAGGAAGTTTTTTCTTGCGAAGTCCAACGACAGTTTTGCCCAATGGAGGACCTCTGAAGAATTGAAATATTTTGCATTAAACTGTCTGCCCCCATCCACCTAAGAAATTTAGAACACCCGTTAATGCAAAAACATGAGCACTGGACCATAAAATCATGCAAAATAACTGAAGATAGAAAAAAATTATTTGAATTTTATGTGCATTTTACCAGAGGAATTGTCCCTCTATTTATACAACATATTTTTAGATTAAAATTGATAATTTCTACCTACAAAAAAAGCTAATTATTTTGAAAATGAAGGAAGATATTCTATAGCTTATACAAGGTTGTTTTCTACAAATTTCAATAAGCTTGTGGCGTGAGGATAGTCGATGACGGATGGTTAGATGGGTGGCTGGCCATACCATCCCACAAATTGGCAGTCGGCCGCTATTAATGAAAGTATTAATATATATCAAAATAATGTAGATACTTTTTAGGTTGTAATGCACCAAACCATAAGTTTAACCATGTGAATGATTAATAATGTGAATTTCAATTTCGGGATTGCTATTTTGTATTGATTTTGCTAGTGGGGAGGTCATCCTCAGAGAAAGTAATAAAAGAAAGTGTTTGAAGCCGGACTGGCGGGTAGTATCCGCTCCGACTTCTCTTAGGATGGCAAGAACCACTCTGACAACGTGGATGGCTTACACCGACTCGGGCTCATTCCTACTTTCTTCCATCAGAGCCTTCTAGGCTCTCTTTAATATTAAGTCAATGAGTACAAACTTTAGTTTGTTTGATATGATCAAATCTTTCACAAAGTCATACAGGTCCTTGCATCCCCCATCATGTTCGCGATCACGATGATAGGCGCATTATTTGTAAGTTGTAACGATCAAGTAGGTGTTTTGACGCTCTCATCGGTGTGAGTTTTTTGAATCATTCTTTGTCTTGGATGGCATGGACTAGTTTAGCCATGGAGACAGAAGTCATTGTGGGCAAACAATGTAAAGGAGGTTGCAGTCTAGCAAACCCATAACCTCTGATAATCTCTCTTGCGCTCGAATAGGCTTTCAAATGGTCACGGCCTCTAGTCTTCATCATATTAGCCACCACCATCTCTTATTTATGAGCCTTGCATCTCTTCTTGTTGGCGGGATCCGCGACCTTTTTCTCAGTCTCAATCTTTCGCTACTCTGCTATCACAGCTGACAAACCTCAAAGTTATATTCCTCTACCATGTGTGACTACTGGTGGGTTCAAGTAATTCAGCCAATACTCGGAGTTGTTGCGGGCCAAGTGCATACATGAACGGCCATTCGCGAAGCCCTTGGCCCAGTGCGTCGTGCCAACACGACCAATTTAAGATCCTTGACTTCCATCATCTTCTTTTGGAAACGCATGATGAAGCCCTTCAACTACTCATCTGAGGGTTGACAACTTCGCAATAGAGTATGTGACTTTTCTATGGTTTATGGACACTAGTGAACTGGGCGAGAAAAATTCTCTTCAGATATGCGAACGAGAGATAGAAGGGTGAAACACATGAGGGCAGGCTCTTATAAAGTAATGAAAAAGAGTGGACACTTAAACACATTGCTAATGTGAAAAGCGATGCGGCAACTTCGAAAGAAGCCACATGATCAGAGAGATCCAGGGGTCCTTTGTACGGATTTAAGGATAGTATTTTTAACTTATCTAGTGCTACAACATCGGCTATGTTCATGGAAAAAACATTCTCCATCCTGGGTTGCTTTCTTGTTCTTCATGTTCAACTTTTGTGGCGTGAGGGGGATGGCTCGTTGTCAGTGTGATAAGTGAAGTCTCCTCCTCTGCTAGGGTCGAAGGTAGCACTCTGTTAGGGTCAAAGGTAGCGTTCGTGGATTCTTGTGATTTTTGTGTCACATTAACTGAATAGGAGTTGGCCACTCGTGGTAGATGTTTGATGGCTTCTTGCACCATTCAAGTGGCCCTCGCATCGAACTCTACTATTTGTTGCACTACAAATTTTATGATATCATCCATATAGACTAATGCTACCAGTACAAGTGTTCAAAAACTTTATGTCCCCTCCTTTGTGGCATGTTCCATGCTCACCGCACCTATCAGGGTGATGAACCTCGATTTGCTCATAAGCACACACTAGGTTGGAATTGCAAAGCAAAAGATCAAAGATGAGGGAAGTGGTATAAGAGGCAATGAGACTTCTCTTTTTTAGAGTGATGTAGGGTCTTCTCCTTGAAGAAAAAGTAAAAAGATCATTCGTTTTCCATTGAATTCTCTATTTATATAATAAATGATGCGGGAAAACAGAGTCTCACATGTCCTCCCAAGGAAAAGAAGTTTCACGCTCATTATGTTTGGCTTTTCGAGATAACCTGTCAGATATCAGGGACTTGCAGACGATCATTGATTGCTTCTTCCTGAACGCTTAGTTTATTACCGGTTCGTTGTCTCAAGCCTCCTCGAAAGTATAACCAAGGTCAACGACGTCTGCTATTCCAACACAACAAAGAAAGGAATTTGGATACAGGAAAAATGTAAGCACGAATCCCATAGAGATCAAATGATTCGAGGGGATTACACTGTTTCTGATCAGAATTCCATGCCAAAGATTATTAAACAATCGATCAACTTAGCTCGCTTGTTGAGACGACCGGTAATCTCATTGGACCTAAACGATCGGTTGAACCAGATGACCGCCAGAATCGATAAAGAACGAGACAACCGACGGTTAAAAGTAAAATAAATTCAGTCATATATTATGTCCAATGGAATGGACACGACCATTCATGAAAGTGGCGCTTATTTAGTTATTAGTATTAAAGAGGTAGCTAAATTAACTACCCATGGTTAGAAAAAAGACAAGGAATGCTCATTAATCATTGAGATAAAGGGATAATATTGTAATAGGATACTCAAACTACATATGGTTATAAATAGGGGTTATTCTATGAATAAAGGTTACACGCTTGATTTTCAGAATTTCATCGTCATGTGTCCTCTTTCATATTTCTTCTTCTTTTTATTTTTTTGTACTCTAACGTCTTCGAGCATGCCTGCTACGACATTTTAGAAATCAACATAAGTGTTCTCAAGGTTAGGACCCTATTCATCTTGTCAGGATGGAGGGCGCGTTGCGTTCAACTTCCTTCCACTAATTATTATTGGTTACATTTGTTGGCAAAAACAAGTCAATCGACGGGTGTGTGATTCATCGTTTTTGACATGGCCCAAGACGTTTGAAATGTCAGCCAAGGTCTCTTGGGTATGTGTGTACAAAACCAATAGACCAAATAATGCAAGGGCTCGAAAGAAAAAGATGAAAATGCAATTTCCTACAATATCGCATAATAAAATTACTAATTCTAGTATAATTAAAGAAAATTAAGATGTTTAAGTTATCCAATGTCATCTAAAACAAGCCCATTGCCTTTTGAAGCATAAATTTTAAACAAATCAAATGAGGGAAGCAAAATATGCAAATAAAGAGCTGCATAAGAGTTGGTTGTTGGATTCAAGTAGTCTGAGATCCCATCCTTTCGATGCATCTGACTTATTCTCCTAAATTTCAAAAAGTTCAAACAGTAGTCAGCGCCAAATTTACGTTGATGTGTATCAGTGCATTCGAGTAGAAATGAAACTAGGGGCATTTACATGCAAACCATGAAATCCCTATGAATTTACATATCTGAAACCTAAACTTTACTTTTACATTTATGCCGCCCAAATATTTCATGACACATCAAAAATACAATTATATTGACTTTCAAAAAGTGAAATACTTCTTATACATAAGTAAGGTGATATGTAAATAATTGAGTTTAGGTGTTAGATATGAAAAAAATAAGTGTTATGTACGTAAATCTTTCATGAAACTAATATGAGAAGCTCCATATGTCACATATCTTCAACCAATTAAGAGACATTCAAGTTTCATACAGTTTCATCCTTCAGAGCAATCGCTTGAATAGCAAACTAGCTTTCTCTCAGATTAATTTTAAGAGCAACTGATATTATTAAAAACTACAAGTCTAACCAGCTTGAAAATGATGTTGATGTCAGACCATGTGCATGCACACCTACTTTTCATCTGGACGGTATTCTCGTATTTTAATGAGCTTACATGGGCCTTAGATCAAGCGCAAGCTATCTTCGCATCTAAGTTGATGGTAAATTTACACCAAGAACCACTCTACTGACTGGATTCGGATACCATATTCCTCTACGAAAGATGACCAGACGATTATATGAACGTGCTCAAGAGCTTGAATTGCAAGAAAAACACGGATTGCCGAGAAAATTACAATATATGACTGAACGTAATCATGGAAAGAAAATCCATAAAAAATGGGACAGGCTTCCCGTCCTTCAAAACTAAGTAATAAAATAACCTCGCCTGATCCACCAGTGGCTCTGGGCCGTATTCTTAAGAGACGAGCCTCTGTGGAAACCGATGAAATTGCAAGCGTAGCAAAATGAGTCTGATGAAAAGGATCGCGGGCCGTCGGGAAAATCGCCAATCGAGGAACACCTCCTCGCATGGCCAATGGCGGCAAAAACCCTAAGGTTCGGATGTTTCCCGCCATCTCGAGGAGGGGATAGCAGCCAGACGAACAACGATAGCACAGTGAGAATGTTGTGCTCGCCCAGTCGACGTTTAAAGTTAGGGTAAAAATAAAGTGTGTTTCTCCTAAAAAAAAAA